GATAGAAAGGGCTGAGGTTTCTGTGTTGATGATGGTCTCTGCTCTCTGGTAGCTCTCTGCAAGGGAAACTTGTCAAGAAGTCTTCGTCAAAGATGAGAACCTCTCTAGCTAATTAGTTCCATGTTTGAACGCATCATTTCGACAGATGTGGAAGAGTTGCACTGAAGTCACAGACAAGGACAGGAAAAGCAGGTGGAATACAGCCTGAAAATATTCCATCCACACACAGCAGTAGACAAGGAATTTGGAAAAGTCATGGCAATTTCTGGTAGATGAAGCCAATATATGAGTCTTGGTCAGATCATTTTCATGCCACGCTAGTCTGTTGACCGATGCCTGATCAACTCACTAGCATTTCTCTTATTTCAAACATGTTTCCCCTAATTGCTTGATGCCTTGTAAATTCAATCTAACGAACTACTGTCAGAGTGTCAGTGAAAAAGGATAGTGTTTGATACACAAAAGTGCAACTGAGGGGGAAAAAAGGGACCATGTCTGTATAAAATCAAACACAAAACTGCAACTGAGGAGAAAAGAGAGAGGATTATCTCTGAAGAATAAAATAGATCAGAAATACCCAAAAGAAGATCATAAAGCTTTGAAGCTGAAAGGAGGATTGATCCTGTACCTACAGTATTAAAATTGCACATACGTGCCATTAATTATTTGTGCTTTACTATTCCTCGTAGGCTAGTTCAATCACAGACCCCTCCTGTTGCGAATTGCAGTGCATCAACTATTCAACTAAAGCCAGGCTACTATGCTTACAAGCCGCTGCAATCGGAGCGGAATAACAGGCTGTGGACTCGGATCGTGAGGTGGGAACTGGGAGCAAAGCGACCATACCTTGACTCCTCGAGAGCGCTTGCGCTTTGTGGTGGGAAGGGTGGCGTCACCTCGGCAGCTGTCTGCTCTGGCGGCCGGGCGGCACGCGCCTTCCTTCTCTCCCACGGCGCTTCGGCTCCGCAACCAAGTGCAGCGTCCCTCTCCATCCCCGCCTCCCCTATCACCTCATCATCGTCGGTGTAGAGTTTCCGCTTTGTTTGTCTTGGCCCAAACCCAACATGTTGGCTCATTTTTGCATTTTGCCTCCCAGCAGAGTTTCCGCGTGCACACGGTATGTCTCAATTTAGGGAAAAAAGTCAAAATGTGTTTTTACGGACTTATTTAGATTTTCATCTCAAGTGCAGTTAAAAATGTCCATAATAATTTTCTTACGCCTAATGTACTGAGTTCTTCTACAAAGATTATGCAAATTTATACTCCCAAAACTTCTTATCTCCTAAGTTCTTTTACAAAGCAAAATAGATAGTCCTTAGAGACAACAAGCGAACCATGTCCTTAGCAAAATTTCATACAAAAATAAGGTCCTTAAGAAAAAAAGAATGAAATATCACGCTACCCACATACTAGCATGAATCATAGTTGTCACTCAACAAGAATTGCAAGTAATGAGAGTAAACCAAGTATGAAAGAGAGACAATGAGACAACTGAATTTTTCCCCCATGGTCTCAGGTTGTTGCCACAGCCCCATGTTGCAGCACCTAAGTTGCAAAGACTTGTTACACTTCTCATCCGCTAGTGAATACTTGTTCTCCACTCTGGCATGGTGGGTCTCAATACCATGTACAAGCGCTTTGAGCCTCCACACAATAGTTCAGAAGGTTGGCCAAGTCCTTCACTTTGATCTGTCTTGAGTGGCAGCAAACACCAAGAGTAACAAGTTTTCAAGCTTCAACTTCAGAAACACAAGTAAGAACACTGATAGCACTCCAGGCTAACGTTCGAGACTCACACACAGGGTGAAAATGTTGCTAGCTATTGGAAAAGTTGGTAGATGCATTTAGTACCGCATGATCCGGCTTGACCACCAAAGGCCCACCGGATCATATGGTGGTGTGTGTTGTGAGATTCCTTCAATTGCTAGTTAGGAATATTCGATTTGTCGTATGATACACGGTGGGACACACAATATTACTAGAACAAATGGTGCACCAAAATGAATTGGCCAACTAGTCACACAGTTGTATGATCATAAGGCGCTGAGGTCACATAATTCTTTGTATGATCGTAAGGCGCATACTAGTAACCATGACACAACAAGTCACTAAGTCAAGTTGGACTTTCTTTGGATAATTCACTGAAGTCACACAGTCCTTCGCCGGATCATACGATGCTCCACAGTAAGCTGAATGACTAGTCACCAATTTTATCTTGGCATCACTGGATGATCTGTGAGGTCACCACAGTCCTCCACCGGATTATATGGCACCATTGCATTACTTTGCTAAGTCACTTAGCGACATCTTTGGAAACGATCCATCGAGGCTCAACCCCATCATCGAGAGAAGTGCTTTTGGCACTGCTTTTCAGTCTATTTCAAGTCCGATCTCGACCAATTACTACTATAGAAACAATTATCCCCGCAACCTTTTCACCTTCAGATTTTGTTGAACTGGCGGTGAAACTGTTTTTACCAGGTTCAGAGCGAGGGATGGGCAGTGTGCAATTGACCCCATAGTGAAAAGTGCTTTCACCACCGGGCCGAAAGAGCAGCGTGCAACCTTAGTATTACACCGGCAGCAAAAAAAACTTTTCGTCGATGGATCATAATTCATTCATTTTTTTTCCGGCGGTGAAATCACACGGAGAAAGGTGGTTTGATGTGGTGTTTTGTGCGAGAAAGAGAAGAAGAATGTTTTGGTGTCGTCTATGGGCAAATCGCCTACTTTGAGTTGCTACCTTGGTCTTCTCGTTCATGAACTAATTACGATGAATCAAAGCGCACCTGCAGCATACCAACACCCTAATTAATTTCATAACAGAGAACAACTTATTGGCCTATTCATTAAATGAACAAATAAATACAACAGAAATTTAGTTTAATTTTATTGGTAGATGTATGAAAGCGATTTCATACTATGGGCAGGTCCCTTCTTGAAACTATCGTGGCACATCAAGCGTTGAGTTTCGAGAAGAATCTGTTGTTCTTCTTGCACACCTCCACCTTGAACTTCGCATCATCACCCTCTTGATCATGCTCCACTCTTCATCGTCATCGCCGCGCGCAATCGATGCCCTCATGGATCCTGCCCGAAGAAATAGGTGTCACCAACCTCGAGGCTGCTGTTGATACATAAATTGTGCCACTTGTACATGAAAGCCATGTGGTGGCCATTCACCCTCTTGGTTGGATTTCAAGCTCACCACCCTGGGCGCTTCGCACATCAGCAGCTCGTCACGGTTCTGCCGTGATTACCTATCGCGATCGAGGAATTCCATGAGCACATTTTTGCGCTCCTTTGCACGCTGGTCGGCAAAAGGAATTGATGAGATAGACTCTCACATTGTCACAATAAATGGCGATCATAGAAGCAATTGGGACGTGAAGCTTCGAAGCGGCTGATGCAACCAACAACACTTGGCTACAGTGTGTGTAGCGACTCGGTACTCGGCCTCGGTGTTGGTGCAGGAAATTGTTGTCCGATGCTTGGCCAACTAGGAAACTAGGATGTCGCCAAGAAGATTTAGTACCATGAAGTAGAAAGCCATCACGAGTCAGGACAGCCGCTTGATCCCATCCAAGTAGAGCGATGAGCGTGTTGAGGAGGCCCGATGCACGATGTGGAGGCCGCTTAAAGTACCCTTATTGTAGCAAGGATGTGCTTGATATAGGCAAGGTGAGAATATGAACCTTGACAGCTTTCTATCAAAGTAAAATAATCTGAATTCAAGAATAAATATGGAATAGATAATAAGTAATAAACAAAATTTAGAATTGTAGTTCCTCGACTGTATTAGGTAACATAACACAAAAAGCAGAGATGTGCTTGATCTAGGCGTAGGTGAAATCGAACTTGACAGTTTCCCATTAAAGGAAAATATTTTGGATTCAATAATAAATATGGAATAGCTAATAAGCAATAAACATAACATTTTGAAGTTTAGTTCCTTGACTGTATTAGGTAACCATGGCGACAACACACACAGAAATTACACTTACAATGCTGTTGCATCTTACATCGACTGTATTATGTAACAACAAGCAACTACATATAAAAACGACACTGACAATGCAGTTGCATCTTACACATTTGTACGATCAATTAGATGTATTATGTGTATATATACTGTAACCATGGAATGGCCACTTAAAGATCAAATGCGGATTAATAAACGCTACTATACAAAATGGTCACATACATTCCTGATTTGGAATAGTGCTCTCAACTGAAACCAACACTAAACACAAGTTTCTAGTCAGTAAAGCAAAATTCCTCCATGATGTAGCTCTGCTTCTTGTTGAGTGTTGACCTCTAGTTGGAGCATCTATCCCAAATTCGAGATCTGAAAATATGTGTACCCTGTTATTTTGATAGATCTGTTCTTGGTCATGAACAGTAAATCCACCCTTTGATCCTTTAATGGAACATACACTCCATTATTTTATTTCTTCATCATTTGTTGATCGATCCATGGTACATATATGATCAAGAATTTCAGGCTGCTGTGATGTGCTGCTTCTGTTTTCCTTTACTTCCTGATACCAGTCCCTGATAGAGCCTTGATGTTGGATGGGTGCATGTGCAGCCCATAAGTCAAGGAAGTGAGAGACCCAATATCTCATAGACAATTCCAACTCCTCATCCTGTCCTTGCAGCAGCTTCCTTCTCTTATTGGCTCCATGAAACGTTTGTCGTGTGTTTGGCATGAAGATGCTTGCTCTCTCAACCTGAATGTATGCAGTGCCATGCCTAGACCTCCAAAGCATTTGGTAGACTGCCGCTTTTCTCATGCTGACAGAAGTAATCTATTGCTTCTGGCAGCATGATCTCTCAAGTTGTCCCAAGGTAAAAGACAGTATGCAAACAATGTTGCTCCTCACTGTAGATTGCAGCTATTGCAGGAAATTTATCCACAAGCAACATGCCTTCTGAAGAGCCATGTGGTGCAAAAGAGGACTCCACCACTCAGATATGGATGATCACGTAGAGAACTTTTACATTCGGACAGTGAGGGCCCTCTGTTTGTTGCACTCTGAGAGAAATAGTTGGCACAGTAGACCTACTTCAATAACCGGTTCTAGAGAATCATGTCCTAATCCAGATGACTTGTCTACCTTGCTACCATGACAAACGTTGTTCTTATCATGCTGCTTGCAACATAATGGGTTTGGGCGAAACCATTGTGTGCCCAATATGTGAGCATTGTCCCAATATTTTTTCTGGGGTGAATCAACATATGGTACCCATGAGAAGTCTTGAGTAGGTAGCTGCATAAGTTCTATCCTAATATTTTCAACTGTAGACTTGTTTAGAGGGGCAAACAGCTGTAAGCACTGAATTGCAACCCCAACTATGTCTGTACTCTCCGAAAGTTGTAGCGTTAAAGTAAGGCAAAAATCATCATTTGGAGCTTTACTATCATTTTGCATAAAGAAAAGCCTACCTTCTATTCCATGCTCTGCACTAATAAATGGTTCCAACAGTAGAAACAAAGGGCGCTTGTTTGCCCTAATGATTCTATGCCGTAGTATCTTGCCAGCAAGAAGGTGCCTGATAAAAGGGTTAAAGGGCATGCAACACCGTGGCGTGCCACCAAGCTCTAGTAATCTTAGAAACTCGCTAGCACCATCTGCATACCATTCAAATCTTTGAACAATGGATCTATTCAAGTCGTCGTTGTCGTGGTTAAAGATAGAAGAAACGAATGACCTGGTAGCATGAACAACCCGCTTAGGAAGGGAGGAATTGCTTACTTCCTTTTCTATGTGTTCAGCTTCTAGGATTCTCTGACTGCATCTGTGCAGCGTGTCATCACACTCTTGAGCAGCAGACTTAAGCTTCCTACGCCAACGCAACAAGGATGTATCAGTGATATCCCACTTATCAGATGTCTGAAGAACAGCCTCCAGCCTGATATGTGCCATCTCTAGCCTCTCAAGGTTTCGGAACGCATTTGAGTTGTGTTTATCTTCATATTTTTGAAGCAGACCAGATACGATTTGGCTTACTGACTCCTGAACAACCGCAGAACCGACAATCTCTGCCATTAGGATTCAAGCATCTACAATATCCCTTCCCTGTTCACGATATTCAACAGATAACAGTATCGATGAGAGATTAGACACATGAACTTTGGATCACAGGAAATGATTTAGCTTAATTAATGGGAGGAAGAACATACCTTTGGTTGAATTGCATGGACGTGGACGGTGGACAGCTATCCTGTCTATAGATATGTCTTGAGGGCAAAATCCCACGGTGTGGTAAGATGGGAACTTAAAGTCAAAGACAAAACTGTGATGTAAAAGGCTTAGAGGGGGGAACGTGGTAGACAAGCCTGATAGAGAGGGCTGAGGTTTCGTGTTGATGATGGTCTCTGCTCTCTGATAGCTCTCTGCAAGGGAAACTTGTCAAGAAGTCTTCGTCAAAGATGAGAACGTCTCTAGCTAATTAGTTCCTTGTTTGAACGCAATAGGCCAAAAGGCATCATTTCGACAGATGTGGAAGAGTTGCACTGAAGTCACAGACAAGGAGAGGAAAAGCAGGTGGAATACAGCCTGAAAATATTCCATCCACACACAGCAGTAGACAAGGAATTTGGAAAAGTCATGGCAATTTCTGGTAGATGAAGCCAAACTATATGAGTCTTGGTCAGATCATTTTGATGCCACGCTAGTCTGTTGACCGATGCCTGATCAACTCACTAGCATTTTCTCTTATTTCAAACATGTTTCCCCTAATTGGTTGATGCCTTGTAAATTCGATCTAACGAACTCCTGTCAGAGTGTCAGTGAAAAAGTATAGTGTTTGATACACAAAACTGCAACTGAGGGGGAAAAAAGGGACCATGTCTGTATAAAATCAAACACAAAACTGCAACTGAGGAAAAAAAGAGAGAGGATTATCTCTGAAGAATAAAATAGATCAGAAATACCCAAAAGAAGATCATAAAGCTTTAAAGCTAAAAGGAGGATTGATCCTGTATCTACAGTATTAAAATTGCACATACAAGCCATTAATTATTTGTGCTTTACTATTCCTCGTAGGCTAGTTCAATCACAGACCCTCCTGTTGCGAATTGCAATGCATCAACTATTCAACTAAGCCAGGCTACTATGCTTCTGCTGCAATCGGAACAGAATAACAGGCTGTGGACTCTGGACTGTGAGGTGGGGAGAACCGGGGAGCAAATAAGCGACCATACCTTGATTCCTCGAGAGCGCCTATGCTTGTGGTGGGGGAAGGTGGCGTCCGCCTCGGCCGTCTGCTCAGCGGCCGCGGCGACATGCGCTCTTCCTTCTCCCCACGGTGCTGGCGCCAAAGCAACACACCGTCCCTCTCCATCCCCGCCTCCCTGTCACCTCATCGTCGGTGTAGAGTTGAACACTGGGCCCGGCCCAAAGTCCGCTTTGTTTTGTCTTGGCCCAAGCCCAACGTGTTGGCTCATTTTGCATTTTGCCTCCCAACAGAGTTTCCAGCGTACCACACCGGTATGTCTCAATTTAGGAAAAAATAAGTCAAAATGTGTTTTCTGGACTTATTTAGATTTTCATCTCAAGTGCAGTTAAAATGTCCATAATAATTTTCTTACGTCTAATGTACTGAGTTCTTCTACAAAGATTATGCAAATTCTATACTCCCAAAACTTATCTCCTAAGTTCTTTTACAAAGCAAAGTAGATAGTCCTTAGAGACAACAAGCGAACCATGTCCTTAGCAAAATTTCATACAAAAATAAGGTCCTTAAGAACAAGAATGAAATATATGCTACCCACATACTAGCATGAATCATAGTTGTCACTCAACAAGAATTGCAAGCAATGAGACTAAACCAAGTATGAAAAGAGAGACAATGAGACAACTGAATTTTTCCCCATGGTCTCAAGGTTGTTGCCACAGCCCCATGTTGCAACACCTAAGTCGCAAAGACTTGTTACACTCGCTCCGCTAGTGAATACTTGTTCTCCACTCTTGGCATGGTGGGTCTCAATACCATGTACAAGCGCTTTGAGCCTCCACACAATAGTTCTCAGAAGGTCACCAAGTCCTTCATCTGGACTGCCTTAGTGCTTTGCAAACACCAAGAGTAACAAGTTTTCAAGCTTCAACTTCAGAAACCCAAGTAAGAACACTGATAGCACTCAGGCTAACGCCGAGTCTCACTTCTTGCTTTGGTGGCTCTCCAAATGCATCGCTATCCTGTCTATAAGTGCTAGGTACAATGGGGTCCAAGAGCATCTCCAAATGAGCTAGGGGCAGCACTCACATAGAGGGTGAAAATGTTGCTAGCTATTGGAAAAGTTGGTAGATGCATTTAGTACCGCATGATCCGCCAACCACCAAAGGCCCCGCTTGGATCATATGGTGGTGTTGTGTTGTGAGATTCCTTCAATTGCTAGTTGGGAATATTCGTTTGTCGTATGATACACTGGTGGGACACACAATATTACTAGAACAAATGGTGCACCACAATGAATTGGCCAACTAGTCACACTGTTGTATGATCATAAGGCGCTGAGGTCACATAGTTCTTTGTATGATCATAAGGCGCATACTAGTAACCATGACACAACAAGTCACTAAGTCAAGTTGGACTTTCACTGGATAATTCACTGAAGTCACACAGTCCCTTTCGCGGATCATACGATGCTCCACAGTAAGCTGAATAACTAGTCACCAATTTTATCGTGGTATCACTGGATGATCCGTGAGGTCACACAGTCCTCCACCGGATTATATGGCACCCACTGCATTACTGTGCTAAGTCATTGAGCAGCATCACTGAATGATCCATCAGGGCTCAACCCCATCATCCGGAGCGTGCTTTTTTGGCACTGCTTTTCAGTCTATTTCAAGTCTGATCTCGACCAATTACTACTATAGAAACCATTATCCCGCAACCTTTTTCACCTTCAGATTTTGTTGAACAGGCAGTGAAACTGTTTTACCACGGTTCCAGAGCTAGGGGATGGGCAGTGTCCAATTGACCCCATAGTGAAAAGTGCTTTCACCACGGGCCGAAAAGAGCAGCGTGCAACCTTGGTATTACACTAGCAGCAAAAAAAACTTTTCATCGATGGATCATAATTCATTCATTTTTATCCGGTGAGGTGAAATCACACGGAGAGGTGGTTTGATGTGGTGTTTTGTGCCGAGAAAGAAGAAAGAGAAGAAGCAAATGTTTTGAGTTGCTACCTCGGTCTTCCTCGTTGGGCAAACGATGAATCAAGCGCTTTGAGTTTAATTTAGTTTAATTTTATTCGGTAGATGACATAAATTTAGTTTCATACTAGATGTAGGTGGGCAGTCCTTCTTGAAACTATCATGGCACATCAAGCATTGAGTTTACGAGAAGAATCTGTTGTTCTTCTTGCACACCTCCACCTTGAACTTCGCATCATCATCCTCTTGATCATGCTCCCACTCTTCATCATCATCGTCGCGCGCCAATCGATGCCCTCATGGATCACTGAAGAAATAGGTGTCACCAACCTCGAGGCCGCTGTTGATACATAAATTGTGCCACTTGTACATGAAAGCCATGTGGTGGCCATTCACCCTCTTGGTTGGATTTCAAGCTCACCACCCTAGAGCGCTTCGCACATCAGCAGCTCGACACGGGTTCTGCCCGTGATTACCTATGCGCATCGAGGAACTCCACGAGCACATTTTGCGCTCGCATTACGCGCTGGTCGGCAAAAAGGAATTGATGAGATAAACGCTAACATTGTCACAATAAAGCAGCGATCACGAAGCAATTGGGACATGAAGCTTTGAAGCAGCTGATGCAACCAACAACACTTGGCTACAGTGTGTGTGGCGGCTCAGTACTCAGCCTCGGTGTTGGTGCAGGAGATTGTTGTCCGATGCTTGGCCAACTAGGATTAGGTTGTCGCCAAGAAGATTTAGTACCATGAAATAGAACGCCACAGTCAGGACAGCCACCCAGTCCCATGGCAAGTAGGCGATGAGCGACTGAAGAGGCCCAATGCCGATGTGGATGGCACTTAAGAGTACCCTTATTGTAGCAAGGATGTGCTTGATCTAGGCAAGGTGAGAATATGAACCTTGACAGCTTTCTATCAAAGTAAAATATGCTGAATTCAAGAATAAATATGGAATAGATAATAAGTAATAAGCAAAAATTTAGAATTGTAGTTCCTCGATTGTATTAGGTAACATAACACAAAAAAACGAGATGTGCTTGATCTAGGCGAGGTGAGAAATCGAACTTGACAGTTTCCCATTAAAGGAAAATATTTTTGGATTCAATAATAAATATGGAATAGGTAATAAGCAATAAACATAACATTTTGAAGTTTAGTTCTCGATTGTATTAGGTAACCATAAGCGACAACACACACAAAAATTACACTTACAATGCTGTTGCATCTTACACCGACTGTGTTACGTAACAGCAAGCGTTTACTACATATAAAAAACGACACTGACAATGCAATTGCATCTTACACATTTGTACGATCAATTAGATGTATTATATGTATATATATACTGTAACCATGGAATGGCCACTTAAAGATCAAATGCTGATTAATAAACACTACTATACAAAATGGCCACATACATTCCTGATTTGGAATAGGGTTCTCAACTAAACCAACATTAAACACAAGTTTCTAGTCAGTAAAGCAAAATTCCTCCATGATGTAGCTCTGCTTCTTGTTGAGTGTTGACCCTCTAGTTGGAGCATCTATCCCAAATTCGAGATCTGAAAATATGTGTACCCTGTTATTTTGATAGATCTGTTCTTGGTCATGAACAGTAAATCCACCCTTTGATCCTTTCATGGAACATACACTCCATTACTTTATTTCTTCATCATTTGTTGATTGATCCATGGTACATATATGATCAAGAATTTCAGGCTGCTGTGATGTGCTGCTTCTGTTTTTCCTTTACTTCCTGATACCAGTCCCTGATACAGCCTGGATGTTGGATGGGTGCATGTGCAGCCCATAAGTCAAGGAAGTGAGAGACCCAATATCTCAGAGACAATTCCAACTCCTCATCCTGTCCTTGCAGCATCT